TGTAAATCAAAAGGAAAGGAAAAACAGTTTCCCTTCTTCCTCCAGCACTGTCTCAGCATCCTTGGCCATACAGTCACGTATTGCACCAAAAGTCACCCATGTGGACATACCGTGCTGTCCTTACGGCCGCGCAGCAGGCAGTGCCCATGGGCAGGAGGCCTTCTCTGCAGGCACCAATTCACTGTCACTCCACTGTTTGCACTGGGAGTGCTTGCAGAGCAGCTGCAATTTCTTTAGAGAGGCTCAACACTTGTTAACGTGGCACTTTAGATGAAGGAGGAAGGCAGTGTGGGCTTGTTTAGGCGTTACTCTGTGAGCTGTCTGACATCTCCTAAAGATCCAGCACCACGATCCCGCATGGAAATGGGGTGGAAGGGGACTGAAATCCCAACAGGCTGATAGGAACTCAAAGCCCACACGCACGGCTGTCACTGGAGGCTGGGTGCTTCCTGACCACCAACAGGGCTGCACTGTTACTGGCACTCCCTCCTTCCCTTCCCCCTTTTGTGGATGCTATCAATGGAAGTACTGCCCCTTGACTTGCACTGAAGTAATTATTTATCACGCTGCTCTCTCAGGCTGAGTCCCATGCAGGTTGTTGTGTGCTGTCCCCTGACCTGTGTGTAACCACGCTGCGATTCAGGAGTAAGTGATAGCTGCAGAGATGCTGTTTGTCACTAGAGAAGGGCCAAGCACCGGGGTGCATGGGGGAGGTGACCTTGGCTTTGCAATGTAAATAAAATCCTGGGGCTTTGTCAGTGCTTTAGCTGTAGGATTCTCAGCTTCTAGAAACAGTCTCAAGAGCTTGAGAACTTTTAGAGGAATTGCAATGTTGAGGTTGTAGAGGAGGGTGATTCCAGGAGAGGGGGGATCAGGATGGTGCAGTGAATAGCATCTGTGCCCCAGAGATGATGGCTCAATAGGCCTTCTTATTGTTGTTGCAAGCAGATCTCTTTGGCTGTTTATTCATCTTCTTTTTCATTCCCAGCTAAAGCTAGGTGAATGTACAGAGCTGCATAGGAGATGCCCATATCAGGATTCACAAGCATGCTTGTTTTCTGCAGAGGTGTGCACAGGTGTGAACATACTGGAAAATGAGGCTTTCCCATGCATTGCCATTGTGGGTACCTTAACCTGATGTCTGTGACCCAAGTCCTCCCAGTGGAGAGAGCTTTCTTCCATCATCTTTTCAAATAGCAAACACTTCACAGTGACCCAGGAGAAGCTGGATGGAAAGGAAGAGAGCCCTTGTCTGTCTCTACTGGTTGTGTAGGCCTGAAAGAAGCAGACTGAAGCTCCGCTGCTTTCATCACCTTACTGCTTTCTGGAACAGCCGTAGCGCGATGCCACGTGTGTGGGTTCTGGGACTTCTTCTGATACATCATTGCAATACATCTTATGATTAAAAAAATAATAGATGAGATGGTTATGATTGGAGCTATGCCTTTTGGCTGGGTTAACCGGTCATTTCTCACAGAAGCAAAGACAGAATGAAGTTCAGGAGGGATCCAAGCAGCAGGCGCTGCACAACTGCTACACGGCTGTGCAGAGCAAACTGCCTGGGTGAAGGTGGGCTCCCCCATCCATGCACTACTGCTGCCTTTCAGTTTGGTATTTTTCCTTTCTGTTTTGGAAATCCAAGAGCTGCAGAGATCCTGATGTTGGAGAGCAGCTGCCAGTGCGTGCAGTTCCTCTGGAAGAAGAGATCTATCAAAACGGTTCCCTTTTGTCATGCTCTAATTTTGCCACTGTTGGTTTATTTTTGTTTTTTTGTTGTTTGTTTTTTTTTTTTTAGCTTCTTTTTTTTTTCCTACTGTATTCTTAAAACTTCCCTTTCAGGGCTTAACAGCTTAACCATTTCAAAGTCATGCCAAGCGGAAATGTAGCATACGATTTTCTCACTAAACATTGTGCTGATCTCTCAAATGCGTTCTGGATTTGTATAAAAGCTGCAAAAAACGGGGCTGGAAGAGGGTGAGAATTAGCACTCAGCTGTGGATCCAGGTCTCTGCAGGCTTAGGAAAGCTCTGAGTAAGCAAACTGTGCTCCTTGCCACCTTGCTCTGCAGTGCTGGCATGGCACGGTGTTGCAGGAGATATGTGTTGAAACAGATATTCATCCTGAGAATGGGGCAGTGTTTAAACTGCCCTTAAACGGAGGTCTTGGTTCTGGCTGTTGGTCCTGGGGTCTGATTCGTGCTCCAGGCTCTGCTGCCAAATCCCTCTCTGGGTTTCAACCTCTTGGTCCTCCCTCTTTTTTCCAAAGAGCTCAACCCCTGTGCAGCAGGAGCATCCGATGGGAGAGCATGCTGCTCTGGGAGCCAAGATGAGTGTTGTGTGGTCACAGGGATAGCCTTGCTCATCTGAGAGTGACTCTTGCTTGGTCTCATGCTCTCATCAGGCCATGAATAGCTGCATTTTCCTTGAGAGGAAGGTGGCAATGAGCATTTCTGGAAATGCAGGCTCTTCCTTACTCTCATCGCTAGCAAATGCGTGCTGTGGAGATTGCTGTGGACTTGGGCTTTTGGGGGATGATATAGGAACAGCACTGGGCACAAGAAGGCAACTTGGTGTTTGAGAGCTGGGAGGTTGGTGCAAGTTCTTCCCAAAGCCATAGATCATTGAGAACTGTTTTTCTGCCATCCCTGGCATTGTTCGCATCAGAACACATCGGATGTTCCTCATTGGCAAAAATAGACCATGGCCCTGAGATGGGCTCTGGATCTCTGCACCCTCCATTAGAGATGCTCAGGGCTGGAATTTGCCTTCATTACAGCTTTGAGGCTTGCAGGGTAAAGCAAGGAACAGCTCATGATTATTAGAAGCTTTAAAGTTCATAATGCTCTTCATAAAGTTTAATCATTCGTTAATAATCAATGTAATACATGCCATGTTGTATCCATGTGAAGAAATGCCCATGGTCCCCCAGTCATGTTCACCCATGTGCTGGTGCAGTTCAGAGCTCCACGTTGATGTGAATGAGGGGTTCCCCAAATGGGGCCCTGTGGCTTTGGTCAGAGGGTCCAGGCAAGGGCTTAGCTGGGCTTCTGCATGTCTCACCTGAGTAAATCCTGGTGCAGAAGATGGGCTGGTTCCCATGACTTGCTGGAGCTGTGTGCCTTTGAAGCAGTTCCAAGTCCCCTCATATCAGCAGAGTGTGGCCCTGTGATTGATTTATAATGTACCTGGGGGAGAAGGGAAGGGTGCCTGGAGGTCTCTGGGCTGCAGGCAGAGGTGAAGAACGCAGCATAGAGAGAATCCATGGAACAGCAGGGTATGGAAGGAGGGTGTGTTCACTGCTCACAGGACCTCTGGATGTTTGGTGCTAGAAAAGGGAGAAGAGTGGTTCCCCAGGTCCCCTCCTGCTGGTGGTGGGCTGGGTGCATGCAGAGCAATGTGGCGTGGTGCTTTGGGGGTGGTCTGTGCTGGTGGGAGCCCCGAGGGAACAGAGCTGCAAGGGACAGTGATGAAGAGCGCTTTATCGTTCATGTTGCAGGAAATCCCTGCTCAACTTTACTTAACCTTCCCTCCTTTTCAATTAAAAACCATCAGGACCAAGCTACTTCCCTAGCTCGCAGGGGAACTAAACTAAAGAAACCAGTTGCGGTCATGTTGCTGGAGAGTGTCTGGCTCCACTTGAGTTGTTTTTCCACTATTTGGGTAAATAAGTTAAGACACTGAGAAGGGCTGCAGAGATGGTTGGCAGTGCACTGCATCCCCCAGGAGACCGGGGCAGCACTGCTCATTGGTGGGAGCAGCCTGAGCACGAGGGGTCGGTCCTGCAGTTCTGTAGAGGGAAGGGAAACAAGCGGCCTCTGTTTTAGCACCGGATTCATTGCGGGGAGAGGTGCCAGGGATCATTAGTGCCACAGTCATCATTATCTTTTGCTTGGATTAGTTTTTTCCATTTTCTTCTTTTGCCTTTAAAAAAAAAAAAATAAAAAGGCTTGTTCCCGTTAGATCAGATACAGACAAAATAATAGCAGTATCACAAAGATTGAGGTCTGCGAGATTAAATTTGAAAGGGAGGAGAGATGAGAACTGTGGCCCTGCTCGCTGTTACAGCAGCAGTACAGATAAATGGCTCCGTATGCAGATAGCAGGGCAAAAAGAGAAAGGGATGCTGGGGAGAGATGGCAAGAAAAACAGGAATTAATCAGCAGATTCAACCACTGTAATAATGCAGTAAATAAAGAAAATTGCATTATTTTAGCTCCTGGGCTTCTCATTGTGTATATGAGCCACAAAGCCATCGATGGGTGCCAGGCTGCAGATGTCAGAGCCTCCTCCTTGCAGGGAAAGGCGTTTGTGGTGTAAAAGGGAGAAGCTGTTCAAAGGGCATAAGGATGAAGTGGCTCGTGTTGAGCCTGAGAAAGGTACTTGGTGCTCAGAAATTAAAAATGTGCTTTTGGGAGAAATTTTGGGGCCATGTTTGTCACCGATGTCCCAACAGCTTGCTGAGCTTTCACTGCCGTCATGGGACATTGCTCAGGCACAGGAGGAAATGGATCTGCTGCAGATTCTCCCCGGTTCTAAAGGATATGATTTTGTACTGTTGAACCCAGTTGCTCGATTTCTCCCAAGGAGTGAGAAGTAGCCGATGCTCCCTCTTCCCTTGTGGTCAAGGAAGTAAACACAAAACATTGTCTGCAAATGAGTTTCATCCCTCCTGCTCCCAGTTCGACTGGGAACGGCTCAGCCCTGGGTCCCTCCCAAAATATCCATTTAGGCCATGCGATGATCCTGACTACTTCTTGCATGCTAGGTGAAAGAAGATCCGCAGTTTATTTTTAAAGCTTTGAGCCAAACGCTTGGGCAATCCTAGAAAAAAAGGGGCTTAAAATATTACCAACCTCACGATAGCGCAAAAATGGAAGAGAAGTAGCCCTGAAACTTCCCAATAAAACCCTTTTTCTCTGCACTTTTTTATCAACAGCTCCAACCATGATCAGTGCATAAATCTACCTTCAACGCAGGATGCTGGAGAGGTACCAAGGGAGAGCAGCGTGTTCCTGGCTGCATGGTGAGGAGGGAAGGATGCACACACAGGTAGGAGCTGCTGCTGGGTTCTCATCCTCTGTTGCCTGCTTGGATTGAACTAACCCTGCTTGTTGCTTGGACTGGAGAGGGGAAATAAGTTGTTGACTAGAGGGAAGCTTGAGAAGTGATTCTTGAAGCTTGTCTGAAGGCAGTGATGTGTTTCTGGGACCTGCTCTGGGATCTGCCTGGCCAGGCAGACGGTGGCATTTCCTGCTGTGTTTGCTATTGGTCCTCATTTGCCCAGTGGGTTTCTGCTCAAGTGCTCATGTAGAGGCAGAGCAGTGCTGGGTGCTCCTTGCAGCCAGGACAAGGCAGCTCTGCCTTCCCTCCCTGCAGCTCCATAGAGAAGTGGAGCACGTGCTTTGCAATTACTCCTTTCCAGAATCCAGCCCAGCATTGCATGTGAAGTCGCTGCTGAGCTGCCTTTCAGCATGGGAGCAGAGCTGCAGGCTCCTACCAGGCTCTCTTAATCCATCCTTGATCCGTGCACTTCAAACAGGAGCCTTGTTTTAGGGATGTGCTGAGCGCTTGTCTCCCGCTAGCTGCTCTTCTGCCTGTGAGGACAGTGATGTGCTGAGATAATATTTTATTTTTGGGTAATTCTTGGCTACTGGTCAGCGCTGCATTGCAGATTGACGTTTCTCTTGGACACCCATAGTTGTGCTGGTGGCTTGTATGGTGTCCTGGATCAGTGGTGTGTGGCAACAACATGAGCTTAGCTTCTCACTCCCTTGTTCTCTCGGTGTTGACACCTTCGTATGCAGTGTTACCTGAACTCAGTCCATTTCTTTCCGTTGCATTGGTCACTCAAATCTGTGTTTCTTCATCCGTACACTTGTGTTTATTTCCTGCAATGAGTGCTGGTGCTCATGCTGTTGCTGGGGCTGCCTTCCTCTCAGGGCCTCTTTGGAGCTGGCTGTAAGGGTTGGGGTCCCTGCCGTGCAGCATGGGGAAGAAACCCATGCTTGGGACCTGTGCTGGAGAGTGGCTGTGCTGGTAGCAGAGTGGGGTGGGGTGAGATGTGCTGGGGGCCGGAAGGAGCAGTGGATTTCTCTGCTCAGATGGGTTTTTCATGCATGTTTTATCAGCGCCAAGATTTCCTTGTCTGTGGGAAAGGCTGGGTATCTTGGAGAAGCAGCACAGGTTGTGTTGAGAGCACTGAGGTCTCTTGGAGTGATGCTGGGTCCTGCCTGGATCTGAGGTAGTAGCACAGGTACTTCTCCACGTGCTTTCTGGTTTCAAAGATGAGGAGGTGAAATGTGGGCTATGTGATATAAGAGCAGCACATCCTGCATGGGGAGCCTGTGTTAGCGTTAGGAAATGCCTGACAATGCATGTTCAGTAGATCATTCCTTCAGAGCAAGGCGCCTTTTATGTTCCCACTCCCAATTATCCTCTTAATTACTCAATGAAATGCCCAATAAAACAAATCACTATAATTTCTATTTTATTCTCTTGTCTATCACGGTTTACTTAAGAGCACAGGATCCATTAAGGAGGCCCTTTCTCATCAGGGAATGCTTTCCAATAGATCATACTTACTGACTGGCTTTATGTTCCTATTCTGCATCTCATCCCCACTTCCCATGCCAGCTCACTAATTACCAGGGCCACCGGTGCCTGGGAAGCACTGCCTCCCTCACTGTCCATCCACAGCACTGAGTCTGTGGCATCCCCATGGCAATAAGTTTGTGACATCCCCATGGCAACGGCCTATGATGTCACTAATGGAGATTCTAACTTTGTTGAGCATCCAGGCAGTGGGGCTGAAACTCTCGGGATCTCACATCTCTTGAGAGAGGGAGGAATTAACATGCAGGGAAGCCTTTAAAACGGCTTTAGATTTCCCAGAGGAAGGGAGGGATGATGATCAGGGGGCTGCTGTGGGCAGTCCCTTCCCCTGCTCTCTCCTGCAAATCTGGGGTTTTGCTTAGGGGCAGCTGAGCCCACAGCCATGGTTGTTGTGTGGGGCATCCTTCCCGTGTCCCCAGCTCTGTTCTGTGGCGCACTGAACCCAAAGCCAACCTGGGATCTGTAGCCTCAGCTCTTCCCCAAACCAGTGTCTGCATTGTCTTCAGTGCTTTTTTTAATTCATAGTATAATGAGATGCTGCTCATGCAGACAGCGAGGGAGGGAGATTCATGTGCACGCCTTTCTAGCAACAGGAAAATCACCTAAAAATCCAGCTCATGTGGCGGGGTGGCACAAACCAGGCGATGCATTCAAACTCCAGAGCTCACCCAGGGAAGCCACCTCGCTGGTAACTCATTCAGTAGCAAAAGCAAATCAAGCAGGTGGAAGAATCAATCTCTTTATTTTAGTTTTTCTAAGGTAGGAATAAAAGTGATATTTCAAAGGGCAGCATGTCTCAGCTGCGAGGCCGTGGGGAGAAGCTGGCACTGCAGAACAGGCTGTCCTGTCTCCCAGCTCCTCACATCGTAACTTCTGAGCTGGATTCAATAGAAATAAATGTTCGGCAGTTCCAGTGGTGGCCTTTGGAAATGGAGCTAATGGAACAAGGCAAAAAAAATCGTTACAACATTTTGACAAGCCCTTAAACATTTGTGCTCAGCGGTGGGAAGCCTGGGACCCACCTGCGGGAAGCGCTGCCCTCCGTTAGTGAAGCAGAGTCCTGCTGCTAATTAGGCAAATGATGCTGAGCTGGGTGGCTCTGGTGGCATTGACTGTGCTGGGATGGGAGCGTGGCAGGCGGCCAGTTCTTGGAGAGCCGGCAGGAGGAAAAGGCAGACTGCTGCCCCGGGATGAGGAGGCTGCGGTGATTAAATAGGATCTGCTGAAATCCTTCCAAAGCGGGCTTAGGAATTAAGAGCCATCAATGTCACATGGAGGGTCAGTCGCTGCAGGACACCTCCGGCCTCCCCCCGTGCCTCTGTTTAGTCCCTTTTGAGCACTAGGAAATGCATCCTTCATTTGTGAGCTCTTTCGTTCTTCTGTGGAAGGGCCAAATCTTGGCAAGGAAAGGCACTTGGAGAGGGCAAGGATGGGGTTGTGCACACCAGGGTCAGAGCTGCTTTCAGTTCAGGCCCCATTAGGATGATGACACTGGGTCTCCCACCACGGGAGGGTATTTTTTTTTTCCTCTCCACCTTTCTCCTTATTTTCTCAGGCAGGAAGGGTTGGTTGCAGCAGGGAGACTTGCACACATCATTAGAGCAGAGTGACCAGCTCCACGCAGCCATCAACCCCAATCAGAGCGACTTAAAAGGCTGCGCTTGCTTTAATCATCCAGAGATGCTCCGGCTTGTCGGTGTGAACCCAGGGCTCCTGGATACGGAGGGATGGAGCTGGGGAAATGATGTTGAGATGAGACTCCTGGCATTAAAAAAGCAGCGTTCCTCACCTGCGTGCTGGCCTCAGGGCTGGCCTGGAGGATGAAGTCCTTCATTTACTGTCTCCTCATTTCCCTCCATGGAAAAGAGGTGGCCGTGCATCTATGTCTGCGTGAGCAGCTCTGAGACATGCAGGCAAAAACTGCCTGCCTGCAAACTGATGGCTGCATCCAGAGCCCTGTGAGTTGTGTGAACACAGCCCTGCTTTGGTCGTGCTGAACTTTCCACACACCAGCTACAGCCGTGGGTTCTTCTCTTGGCTTTCTTCTCTCCCCATGACAGCCCCACATGCTGTGTACATCGCACTCGGATGAAGAAAGGACAAGCACTGAGAAACATCACAACTACCCCCATGCTGACTGCAGAACATGAATGTTCTCTCCGAAGCATTCCTGCATCCGCAGAGGTGCTTTCATTGAGATTTTTTCTAAGAAGGGAGAAAAGCCCCATCCTTCAGCTGATTCTTCTGCTGATTTCCATTCCCCTTCAGGTGTGGTGCTGCAGTCTCACAGGTTCCTGGCTCAGGTTGCACCCCAGGGCTGGATAAGATCAACACAGTTCTGCTAATGACCCCTGAGATGGGGCGATGTAGAGGCAAAGGCTTGGAGAAGATTTATCATTGAACTCAAACTAGGAACCTTCTGCTTGCGAAGCAATTAGCTGGTGTTCTGCCCTAACTGCTGCTCATTAAAGATGAGCAGGGCTGAAGGCGGGTGTAGGAGGCAGCCAAGACATCTTTCTGGACTTTGATTTGATCTCTGCCTTTCATGGCCTTCCCCTTTTGTTCTTGATCACCGGCTTTAAAAGCACATCTTTGACAGGAGGCGACAAAAATCTCCCTTAGGCAGAGGGGATTTTGGCAATGAGCGTTTTCCTTTTGGAGCTGCCCTCTCTGTTGGGTAAGCATGAAGCGATCCTCTCTGACTGGAACTGATGCTCTGGAGCCATGTTATTCCACTGGGAAGAGGAATTTTCACCCATTTTCAACGTGGATTATTTTTGTGACTGACTGTAATAGTCTCCTTGGCGGTATTAAGACTTATTATGTCAGGATTTATTTCAGTGTGAAGTGATTGGACATGCTGTAGTCCTGTAGCTTGCCATTGTGTGCTGAAGCCCAAGTGATCACCTCATCCCACTTCCTCCTGGTGGTGATGTACACTGTGCAGCTGGGCCCATCTCCAGAGGCCAGCTGTTGCCCATTGCCTTGTAACTGCTAAAGGAACAAACTGTAGGGAATGAAGTTACTGTGTAAAGCATGGAAAGATCCTATGGGTCAAAAATCTGTGCAGGAAAACTGTTTAGAAAAGGGAGGAGAGGACCTCAGATGAGGATTTGCACTTTCAGAGCAACAGTGCAAACACTGGGATTTCCCTGGTTTTAACAGGAGAAAACGCAAGTAAGGATTAAATGTGGATTATGCTGCAGTGATGCTGAGACATCTAAGAAAGGGCTTTATTTGTCCTAAAACAAATGGCATTTGCTCAGGGGCTTGATTTAGTGGTGAGCTGTTAGAGTTAGGTTAGCATGGTTAGATTGCAGTTGCACTTGATGATCTTTAAGGTCTTTTCCAACCTGAGCTCTTGTATGATTCTATGACGTTGCTCATGATGAGGCAATGAAGCAGTAAGTTTATTAGCTAAGCAGCTGTGTTGGTAC